GAACTCTATGCAGCCATGTTTGTCTGTAAATCTTGATATTTTCATAAAGAACAAAAAAATCCACAACGACTTGTCGTTTCACACTATGTCCAGAGGTGGCAGTAATGGAGTAACTTTGTCTGTTTGATCACAACCCGAAGAAGAAAATCCAAACAGCGAATGGCGCTGAGAAGCTCTAAAAAACATCGAAGTGGAGATAAATGTCTTCGCTTTGGTGTTTTGGTTTATGGTTTCTTTATTAAATCAGATTTCATGGGCTCCGATGAGTTCTGTAGGTGTTAACCTGCTGGATGTTTATTTCTCTGGGTTGAGCTAATGTCTGTTAGACGGCTTCTGGTGGGTTGTGACGTGTTGTCTCTTCAAGATGGCTGTTTGTTTTATCCCTGCTGCAAAGGCTGCTTCTCCCGTCTGGATGCAGAGCAGAGAGACTCCAGGTAAAAACACGAACAGACGTTTGTTTGAGCTCTGTGGGGAGCAGTAAACTGAATCCTGGGTCCTTCCTGTCAGGTACAGATGCTCCAGGTGTGGCTACTGGTGTCTGAGGGAGCAGGTGGACTACAGATACCGACTATCACTGCTGGTGGCCAGAGATGCAGCTACCTTCTGGGTCACTGTGTTTGGAAACAGCTTGAACTCCTTTTTTGGAATCCATGCAACTGGATTACAGAGGTGATTTAATTGGATTATGTTTTATTAGCTTTACTGTTTGGATTAGTTTAGTTCTGACCCAGCTGAATGTTCTGTCCATAATTAGTGTGGTTCAGAATATTTCAACAAAATTAATTAACAGTGGTTATAATGGTAAATAAATAGTTGTTTTTTTTATTTTGAAATGACGGTTTTATATCTATGAAAGCATCACCTTTATAATATTTTTTTTGTTTTGTTTTTAGATATATTTCTATTAGTTTTTCAAAGTACAACATACAAAAATCACACACCCTAATATAAAGCATACATATATTAAAAAAAATTACGGTCTAAGAAAAAGAAATACTCTTACCAATACAACAATAGTAATTATACAGAAAAAAAAAAAAAAACATTCAATAACAGAGGGAAAGATTGGAAGAAAGAAAAAATAAATAAATAAAAAATGCAAACAAGCCAGACAAGTTATCTAAGTAACAGTTACACTGCACTGGTTACTGCACTGATTTACACTTTAGAATAGTACTACATATCTATGAAGGCATGGATGGCATACTAAGAAACTGAGTGGCTGTCGGGTTCAGTCTTAGACTGAGGAATATGGTCCAGAACTGGCTGCCAGATACTACAGAACTTATTAGTGGAGCCATTAACATCTTACCGCAGTTTTTCCAAATGAAGAGTCTCATTAAAATCGCTTATCCACATTTTAAACCAAGGGACCTTGTCAGTTTTCCACAATCTTAATAATACTTTTACTAATACTAATTCTTAGCTATTACCAGTCCATAAACCACAGTCTTTGTATAGAAATGCTGCAGTTCCTAAGTGAGGGAGAGTAATAATTTTTTATTGTTTAGTTTCTGTAGAGCATCTCAAGATCCCATATTAGGGCTGCAACTAACGATTATTTTGCTAATCGATTAATCCGTCAATTATTTTTTCAATTAATCGACTAAAAATTGGATAGCAAAAGGTTCCTTAAATAACATTTTTCCATAGAATTAAACCAAGTCAAGCTAGAACCTGAGAGCTTATTGACAAAAAAGATTTTGTATCCTGAATACAAAATTTTATATATGTTTTTACAGCGTCTATGTGGGTTGCTCTGTCAGCTAAAGCATGTTTTGTGGTCTCTTTACTCCAGTTAAGGATTAATCATGTACTAAATTAGTTGATGATTATTTCAATAATGGATCAGTCATGATTAATTGTTTCGGCCCTATCCCATTCAGTGGTTTAGAGCATGCACATGCAGATGATATATTTTCATTCTTTTGCATGTTAATGAGTGAATTAGTGCTTACTTATTAAATCCTGACCTTTCTCAATACAAGCTAAACCTTCGTCTGGACAATAATAAAAGGTATACTCCTTTTTTTACCTTAAGTTTCTAGACCACAGAAAATATACATCAAATTTGTTCTACCAAATATTGCACGTCTCTGTCCTTGTATTTTACACATTGTTATTGAAAGAAGTATGACAGGCTTGATCTATTGTGTGTTTCTCTATCTAATATATAATAGTAATTTCTTTTATTAGATGTTATAAGCTAAACATGTGAATAAAGTCAGAGTCCCTTATCTCCCTCACTTAAATAAAAACAAACGCAACAATAATTTGCTCTTTGAAAATGTTTGCACATAATGAATTTGAGACTTCCACCCGAATTTACGGTCCCTAATATAAAGACTTTGTTTAAATACTTTCTCTCTATTTCCCTCATCTATTAAGAAACAGCGCCGCTATTTAATATATTTCTATGTGCAGCAAGGTATTAGGAAATGCATACAATTATTGTACCGGTATATGTAAAACAGCATTGGTCGGCCACTTCTAGAGCTTCCAACAAACTATGAATGAATGAAAAGGAATATTTCAGACAATTTTGACAAACAACAATAAATAAGTCAACCAAATACACACAAAAAGAGACTAGTTAACATCAAACCAAACAATTTCCAAACTAACTAAATTCACTTGACCATAAATAAATAAAAAAAAAACCTCCACAAAATAAACCTGTCGGTATATACAGGCAGAGACATGAAATCTATTAATGTAAATTATCTGAAAAGGGATATGAGGAAGTAAAACGTATTTTTCATACCCCCTCTAAATGCACTTAAATTAACTTAAAGTAGAGTAACCTTCCTGTTAAACTTCTATGGTTTTTATCCAATATTCACACACTTTCTTTAATCTATTTCAATTTTTGGCTTTCTACTGCGATAAGACCCCATTACACAGACTGAGTAAAGCTAATTGCCATGTATTATAACTACCAAACAATTATTAATGTGAAGCAGTAAGAATGAAATGTCAGAGTTGTGTTTTTTTGTGTTTTATTTGCAGCAGTTTTTTATTTTTAGTTTTAATAGTACACTCTCACAGGTGGGGAACTTCTATCAAACTGGTCAGATGAACATCATACTCATCTGTTGTTTTTACTGATATGACTGACTGGAGTTTTGGCAGACAGTACCGTTGTTAGCCTGTTGATTCTGAGTGTTTTAAGGCAAAGTCTTAACTGTATCTGTAAGGCTCTTTGTGACTTTAAAGGTCTCCAGCCAAAACTGTGGTGAATAGGTTAAGACATCATCCTTATTACAACAAACACCACAGACTGTTATGTCCAAACATGTCCGTACTACTGACACCAAGTGAAAGGACTCCTTAGATACACAGCTGAGTAGAAAACAATGGAGATGAGTCAGTCAGTAGTGCTTATTATGAGAAAATATGTTTGCTTATTTTTTCCCTCCTGCAGCTTTTGATTAAATTTTCTGTTATTCTTTAGGTTGGTTGAACGTTCGGAGGGACCAATGGGACCATCAGCAAGATCGGCGTTGTTGTTGCAGGCAGTTGAAGACTGTTTACTTGGTAGACACTTCATCTTTGGTATAAAGGTATTGTATGTATGAATAGATCACATTTATTACACCATGTGGTCACACCTGGCGATTCAAAGCGATATTGTTCGCAAAACAACGTATCATTATGTGGGATGGTGTTATTTCTGCCGCTGTCTGGTTTTACTAGTTCTGCAGGTCTTGGGTAACTGAAACAAACCTGTCATCCCATATGAACTGCCACTTGTTTTTAACTTTTAATCATAAAGTGTTAATGGCTATTAAACTGAACTGTAGATTAATAAATACTGTAGGTTAATAGACAAAATATATTTCTCCTTAATTTTTTCATTTTTATTTTTGTAGTATCATCAAGTTACAGTAATTGGGAGTCGTGGCCTAGTCGTTAGAGCAGTGCGCTTGTGCTCAGTGAAGGTTGCAAGTACCTGCTTCGATCCCCACAGCCTGCACTCTGGGTCTCTGAGCAAGACCCTAAACCTCACACTGCTCCCCTGGGCGCCACAGAATGGCAGCCCACTGCTCCCTAAGTGGATGGGTCAAATGCAGAGTGAATTTCTCCATTGTTGGAAAATAAAGGGATTTACATTACATAATTTGTAATAGGATTCATAAATCATATAATCTCATAATCCAAGTCAATCTGAAAAATGAATCCTTTACTTTTCCTTTGAATAACTTGTGTTGCATAGAAAGAGGTTTGAATTAAACTGTGTGTAGTTCATAGGATTCAAATGTATTTATGTTCAAGGATATTTGATCATCAATACATTTTTAATAAAAAACACCAGAAATCTTTTCTGATGGATTCTAAGGTTTCTTTTGAGTCATTTCAGCTTCAGCACAGCTTATAGTAGAGCTCTACTTTTGAGGGAGTTATTGTGAGCGAGTGATAAAACAATTAGAAGTTGACTTGGGGTAACCTAGGAGCTTTGTCACATTATAAAGCCATTTAAAAAAGTATTCTTTAGACAGAGAGGGACCAAAAAAACATCCACTTTCTGTCACTGTGTTAGATATTATCTCATAACTAAGTTTCTGCATAATCTAAGTTGATTATGGTATGTCAATGCTGTATATTGTTGCTGGTAAGCCTTATGAGGTACCATGTGTTGACTCCCATTGACTTCCATTGATTTTCAGCCATTTTCAACCCTTTCTATGCCTTAACCCTAAAACTAACCATTACCAATGCACTTCACCCCAACCCAATTAACACCTTAGCTCTAAACCTAACCATTAGCAAAATACCTTGTGAGGACCAGCAAAATGTCCTCACTTTGACCCTCATTCTGATGTTGAAATTGGAAAATGGTCCTTACTTTGATGCATAGACAGGTACACCCAGACACACACTAATACTGTCATTACTTCAGAATCCATTAAAAAGACATTTAAATCTGGATCCGTTAATCAAGTTATGTTTATCAGCTACGATTCCCTTTTTTTAATTTCACCATTAAATAAAAATGAACAGGACATCACTTGATGTTTCTTCCTTTTTTGGTATTTTACCCCCTAACTGTAACAGAAACGAAGAGATTTGGATGAAGTATTCATAGCATCACTTGATCTCTGCTCTTGTGTCCATCTGTGTGTTCAGTTAAGCGGAACAGAAAGAGAACCATGGCTTAAAGATCCTGATGGAAACCAGTCCAGCAGTAGAGAAAGAACCCAGTTTGTAGCCAGTCAGATGATTCTTCCCACAGCCTCAGGCCCGACTGGCTGCACAGTGCTCAGTTATTACCAGCGTCTTCTTCAGAAAGTTTGTGAGAGTGCAGCAGAGTCTGCTCATCCCAGCCAGACCTTTAAGCCTTTTGCAGCCCCCCTGCTGCTGACTTCTCCAAACAGCACCTTTGATGACATCACTCTACATCATTCTAGTCTTCTTTCTCAGGCTCTACTTGGGTAAGAAAATTAGAAATCATGTAATTCAAAAACGGAAATTAAGTAATTCAAACCTAACTGGTTTTACAGGCTCGTTTCGTTTAGTGTTTCTTAATGAAACCTCTACCCATATAAGCAACGCTGTTATGTCTAAAAAGTTGTTTTTATTTCCATCCCAGATTCCAACCTACAGATCACGCACTCCCTTCCACCCCCCCATGGCAGCAGTCTCTCGGACTTGTGACGTCTTCAGCAGAGCAGGACGAAAAATCGAGTCAGGATGGTGGAGATCGAGACAGCAGACTGACAGGAGCGAGTGTCTCTCTGGATGACCATCCCGGCACGAAGGAGAGAACAGCCCCGCTCCAGTTGGGGGGCAGTTTTCACACCAGTCCGTTTTCTACTGGGATGCCAAACTCCTCTTATAAAGAAAACAGCTTCAGTCTATCCCAGCCAAGGTATAAAAGCTGCAGCCTCACTCAAAAGGATTTTCCTACCACCCTTCAAACCAAAACACCCTTATCAAGCTCCCTTAATTGGAATGATTTGCCTTTCTCTGAGAGTCTCACTGAATATCTATGTAAAGAAAACAAAGATTTTCCGGTTAAAACGACAAGTTTTAATCTGCAGCATCAAAAACGAACCGCAGCAACCTTTGAGGAGAACGCCACCCTATCAGATGAACCGGCTTATGCTCGTCAGAGCGCTGCAGAGATAAACGGCAGAGATAAACTCCAGGATATCACGAATACACCGGAAGGAGATCAGGAATATGTTTTATCTGATCAAGACCGTTTTAACTGTGATGAGCACCTGAGCAGGTTGGAAGGCGGAGAGATTTCATGGGACAATGAAGCTTTTTTGTCACCCGAAAAACAAGAGCAGCACAGTGAAGCGGACGGTTACAACTGTTCTGCCGACTTATTCGGTGACTCACTAGTGATTGAGACGCACACAAATGCTGGTGCACAGCATTCCCTCTCAGATGCTGCTTTCCATTGCACTGAGCTGAATGATCAGCATCTAAAGAATAAAAGCTTTGCTGGGTTAAGATCAACGCCACACAAACAGAAACTTAAAACCAAATTGTTTAAAAGAGATAGTTTAGGTCTACAAGATCTTGACTTTCTTCCTCCTACTCAATCCACTCCATGTATGAAATTATGTGCAGCGACACAGTCACACACCTTCACTTCCTACAGATATTTAAACAATGAATCCTTAAGAGAAAACACAATGAGAAGCATGAGATCCAGCAGGTGCAAGACCAAAATCACATCAGGAAGGAGATCGAGGAAGTCAGAAAAACAAAAAGACAAACATCCAGTTGGACGACATGTAAAGCTGCAAATACAAAGACTGAACTTTGAGTCACCAAGAACAAGCAGCCAGAGACATGACTCTAAAACTAGCTGTGTGACTGGTGGTGATTACAAGGATGGGGAGGGAATAGTTCCTCCTACTCCTGCTCATAAAATGCAGCTAAATGTTGAATTCAGAGAAAGACAGCAGATGGAAAATGGTCGCAGGGATTCCTGCTGGAACAGGAACGGTTCTGGAAGCGATAGGTGTGATAATAGCAAACCCCACTGGGATCAAACTCAGACAGTATTTTATGCTAACGAGTCAGTAGGTGAGAGATATTTGGATGGATCTCAGGATCAGCCCTCTGAAGATGTAAACAATACATGTGACTGGTCAAGGGATCTATTTTCAGACTCCATCTGATTGCATAACTGCAAAAATGGATTGATGTTTTAAGATGAGAACAGCTGCCTTTGAATGAAATGAATCTAATGAAATATTTATATTTATCTCTGACATACTTTGTGTTCAGATTGGAATTACGGGTCGCAGAAAAAACACTAATAGGACAATATTTAATAGTAACTAATTTAACAATCATGGCAATAACTCCTTTTTTTTAAATAATTTTCTACAAATCATAAATCTCCAATAAATGTTATTTTGTCGTTAAAATATGTTGAATTGCTTAAGCACATTTTCCCTTGTGACTTTTTATGATTTGTGTTGATAAATATTAATTCAAACCCTTGCTATGCATATTGTTGGATGCATTTGTTATTAACGACTACTGTTAAGAATGAAGTACTAACATTATGGTGTTGTTTATGAAACAAAGGTAGGCTGTCCGTCCATTTAATGGTCAACTAAACACATTTTCTGCTGAATGCTGTCTTGTCTGATAGAAATCATGCTTCTCCTTGGCAGCTGAACAGACTGGCCGCTCCAGGTTCATGTGTGTACGTGTGCAGCGTCAGTTATCTAGGGATAATTGTGGACAATGTAATGCCAAAGAGCTAAAATTAGCTGTCACGATGGCTATGTCCTGGAGGTCTGAGTAAAGAAGAATAGGAGAAAAAAACCAAGATCATGTTACATGGGTAGAAGTGGAAACTGCACAGCCAGTACACAGCTGGAGTCCCGTGCTGTACTGTGTGTTGCAGAGTAGAGGTTGCTATGCGGACAGATGAGTGTGTTTTTGTCCTTTTTTTGTCACGTCAGGACCAGTAAGGGGGGCAGAGGTGTGTGTTTGAAATTGAAAGATTCCTGCAGGAAGGTTCAGTTTTTTTTCCCCAGATTGAAATGTTTCCGGCTGCTAATTAGAGAACCTTTTATCAGTCTTTACCCTAGAGGCAGAAGGAACAAACCTTGTCAGTCGGGTGACTTTTACAACACAGCTATTGATAATTTCTGCATCCTAATGATTAAGTTCTCAATAGGCGGTGCAGTCGTTTGGTATGCAGGTAGTTATTTACTGCTGAATGATTATTTTACGTGGCATTTAAGGTTAGGTTTGGATCATGATTATTGTGTTTAAAAACTAAAAAAGTTTAGCATGATTTCATTCAAATGTTTTAAAGGTGCATTAAAATGTTATTACAGGTTGAAATGATTAGAACCTGCTTTCAACCTCCAATAACACAAGACAAATTAGAGACAGCATATCTATTTTTTAGTATCACTTGTAGAACAGTGTCTTGGTTAGAAATTCAATTAAGAAACTTGACAGCTGTCCATTATTACCGTAAAAGAATGTTGCTGACATATCTGTGTGTTTCACTAAATCGGTTTGACAACTGGGGTACTAATCAACGCTTGGGAGTTTTAATAGTCATTTTTACTTGGAATTTGAACAAATTTTTTCCCCCGAAAATTATAGAAATAGTTAAACTTCATTCATGTGAATATCAGGAGTGAGTGACCAAAACAAGACTAAGAAAAACACAGACTTAAGATTTATTTTGTCATATTGTTAAAACACAAGTGTAAACAAAAAGAAATTTCGTTAAGAACAGCCCTCTAGACAATTTTTTTATTTTTTTAAAGTGCAGCATAAAAACAGTAATATTAACATATGACTGTATATTTACAGTTCTAACATTTCATTTTTTTTCACACAAACGATTGAAAAAGAACAAAAATACAAAGTGAAACTAAAGCAGAGGAGAGAAAAACCTTTTGAGTGTGTTGTTAGGATTATAGAAGATCTTACTATAACTTAAGATATTTAAGCAAAGCTGTTGCTAAGACCAGTGATCCATTAACGGCTTAGACTTTATTGTCATTTTGTACACACAGAGATTATGCAAAAAGAAATCTCGTTCAGTACAGCTCTCTAAACAGTTTAATTTTTTAAAGTGCAGCAGTCATAAATGTAAAGATAAGACTGTANGCTTCTGTGCCCTTTTGACCAGTGAGGTGGTGTTTACAGTCCAGGTGACCCCCAGGAATTTGGTGCTACTGACCACCTCTACAGCTGAGATGTTGATGACCAGTGGAGCGTGGTTAGGACGGTTCTTCCTGAAGTCCAAGATGATCTCCTTCGTCTTCTCCATGTTCAGGATCAGGCTGTTATTTCTGCAGTAGTCCACCAGCTTCTCCACCTCCTCTCTGTAGTTCTGGTCGTTGTCGTCTCTGATGAGGCCCACCACCGTGTTGTCATCTGCATACTTCACGATTTGATTGGTTGTGAAATAACTACGGATTTGTCCAGCCAGGTGTTAAAAATGTCTGTGAGGACACCAGCCAGATGAACTGCACACCCCTTATTCACCCGCCCAGGTATGTTATCAGGCCCTGGGGCCTTCCTCTGATTGATTCTCCTCAGAGTTTTCCTCACTTCAGCTGCATCCAGGTTTAGTGTCTCTTCCCAATCGTGTTGAACAGCTTTCACTGCTGGAGTGCTGTTTGGTGCCTCAAAGCTTCCAAAGAAGTGCCTCAGTGCCTCTTTATCACCAGACTTGAAAGCTGAGTTCTGTGCTTTTAGCGATCTCCGAACCTCTCCATTCATCCAGGGTCATTGGTTGACCTGGGTGGGGATGTTCTTGTTGATTCGGATGTCTTCAATGCATTTGTTAATGTGCACATACTACAAATATAAATTGTGCATTTATATTTGTAGTTATAACTTGCACAAATGACTTATTTAATTGTGATTCAAAAATGAAGCCGCTGAGATTCTGCATCAACAGTCTCTATAGCACAACCCAAAACATTTTAAACATCTGCAGGGGTTCACAGGTAATTAAAAGGAGCTGTGGTGATCTTCTCGAAGGTCACACCATTTTTTTTGTTTTAGCTTAAAGAAATATTCCGAACTTAGCAACAGTAAAGTCCATTATTATTCTTAAAACATGCAAAGAATTATTTAAATGTTTTATTAAAGTCCTTGAAATACAGATTTCGAAACTTTTTTTACTGTCTGATAACGAAAAAAGCATCTTTAAAGAGTTCCATCTGGACTCTTAACTCCTGAGGATCGATTTAAAAAAGCAACGTATTCATTAATAAGTAAAGCTTAGTGGAAAATTATTACTAAATTGACATTTAGTAATCAGACAAATAGTCTGATTAAATGTGTTTAAATGCATTTTATGTAACAATTGTTTATATGCTAATGAATATTCTCAGTCATCCAGGTCATAGTCATTCCATAAAAGTTTAAAAACAATGCACTGGTTAAAAAAATTGTTTATGTTTTGATACTAAAGAGTGAAGCCTTAATTGTCAGGGCACAGATCCAGAACATGTTGTTTCCAGAAGCTGCTCATTGTGTGACTGCCTGAGTCACTTCCTTCTGCACCCAACTGGTACAGTACGTGAGTTATGTCACTGCACACTCAGTGAGTGGAAACACTTTGAGCGTGTCTGTGTTGAACTTACTCTCTGGGAGAGAGGGCACATTGCTCTGACCCATTAAATCAATGCAGCGACCCTCTCTTGAATAAGCAGTTGCATTTAAAGCCCTTCTCAAGGAATGGGAGCGTTCCAGTCTTGGTTTGCAATATCCAAGCTTTTTGGATGTCTGGGATGATCTGCAGTCCCTGCAGCTGTTCGGCCCACAGATCAAACTACACAACAGCCTATGGCCCTCAGTCAGCACCAACTACTTGAATGCATTTCTTTGGACGAGTAGATCCTTTATGGTGTTTTTTTTTTTTTTTATATCATGCTTTTAAACTTGAATTTGAGTATTTTTTAGTATTTTTCTTATTTTTTGCAATATCTATTTGGGTATAATTTTGTGCATTTTCATCTGAACGATGTTAATGTTTTTTAATCGTTAGTTTTCTCTAATGATTATGCCCTTATTGCATAAAAATAAATAAAACTTATTTTCATTCAGAAAAGGGTCGATTGCTGCTGAATTTGTGGCATAATTCCTATGCTACGGATAAATGAAGAGCATGTTTTGGGCAGCGTTTACATTTTTGGCTTTTATTTAAATGTCTTTGAAGAAAAAGAGGGGCCTGGTTGGGAATGTATTCATAAACATCACAATTTGATCTTTTAACTTTGAAAAATACATGTCCTTTCTTTGTATTTTTAATCTGAAGTCTTTTTACTTTACATCTTAGTCTTGAATATTGTGCAGTATTTACACTTAAAATAACAATACATTTAATGTAGGACTGTATGCTGATGAATTACTGTCGGACTGTACAGTAGTTTGTCCAAAACCACTGATCTATAGTTTTAAATAAAATTGCATAACTTTTAATATAGTTGCTGTATTTCAGTCTGTTGCACAAAAATTGGCTGTTTAAGAATTAAATAAACTAGGAGCTATAACCTATCTTAAAAACACTTAAACGGGATGTTTGCATCGACCTGAAGGAAAAAGCTCTAGAAAGAAAAACATAGATTTTTTATAAATTATTCCATCGTCACCAAACCTCTGTCTTAAATTTACTGCTAACTAAGTTTGTTGAATTGATTTCTTGCACAGTTAAACAGTTTAATCACTTTTTGCATGTTATATTTGCTGACACGTTTTTTGCATTATGTCATCTATTTGTGCCACAAGACACACTCCTTAGATGTCACAATGCAATGAAGCACTGTGTACTGCTGTAGTATTTCCATTGCACAGTTGTCAGGGAAAATGTACTACAGCCTCATGGTTAGCAGGAGGCGTGGCTGTAACATTAGAGCAGAGCATGGATTAAAGCCATGAGGAGCATGTGGTTTAAAGGGTGGAGAAAAGGCTTAGTATGGAGTTGTCAACAAAAACGTCAGCTGAAGGGAAACTGGCTCGTGACACTAGAGGAGGTTCCATGTGTAGAACTGAAACACATAGAAACAATCCAAACAATTGTCAGTGTTATCTGAAGTGGTAGAATGCATCATAAACTTGTAGGAGAGACTCACATTCTTTTTAATGGTATTAAAGTTTTTTTTTTTGCAAGCAAATGCTAAAAAAATCATTACAGAATATCAGGAGATTCATCTCTGACCTATCTCCAAAAATAAAAGCTTTAAACTGTCCAAGTTTGGGCTCTGCTTGATATGTAATCGTTCTTATTTAGGAGGAATTGACAGTAATGATCCACCATAGAGTTGTCTTTTAATTAAACATGACTTCATGCTATATTTTTGAAGTGCAAGCAGGAACACAGGTTCTACTCGCTGCAGCTCTGTGGCTGTCTATCTGCAGGTCAGTGTCAGCCCCTCTCTATAACAAGACATGGAGAGTCTGACATCACAGGATAGCACTCCTTATAAGCACCTGAAACGTCCACGTCATGCGTTGCTCCCAATATGAAAAGCGTGTGATTGTTTTCCACATGAGACCCTCTGCAGACAGAGTGGGACTATATATCCTCAATGGGAAGTCTTTTTTCACTTTAACTACAAGCAAGACGGACAAAGACTGTTACTCGTCTTCCACCAAAATATGGAGGTAAGGGGATTTTTTTTGTTCGTCTTGTTATTCATTTGCAGTCAGTCTCTAATAATACTATCTATGCTACTAAACTACTACTACACTAAGATCATACACTACTATCTGGCATGGAAAAGTTGTGATAGTTGTAGTTTTTCCTGGTTTAGAAATGTTTAAGTTTTTAGTAATATAGTAGCACCTATTTATTTTTGCTTAATTGCTGAGCATTATGGTAAGTTATCAACAATAACTAATGAATGAGACTGAATGATTCAAATGGTGTGAAGTAATGAAAGAGATATTGATCAGTGGATTATTTGGGAAAAGCTGGGAATGAATTCAATCATTGGTTGGAATTATAAAGTTAACTTCAAGTGTGCACTTGGTGGAATTTGAATGCATTTTCATTCAAAAGGAAAACAGGCTGCCTGTTATATTTGTTTTTGTTTTATCCCTCCTAATATTTGATCGGTTATTCATTTCTTTTCTTTATCTTTTTTTAGATTTCTTACTTGTTACTTAGCCTACTTTAACTTTGACTGGAAATTGAAAATATGCTTTGTGGTTACTTTTCAAAGCTCATCCACTGAATTCAATAACTTCTCTTTTTTTTTACTGCTCTGCCTGAACAAAATAAAGATGAGAACTGTTCACTGATTTATTTCATTGGTGCTCATTTAGTTTTTAGAATCTTCTAAATGTATTTCTTGAGATTAGGGTGTCATGTAAGTTGTGGGGACTATAGCTCTGTGGTTGAAGCTGGTTGGATTTTAGATTCCCACCGTCACATGCAGATGGACCCTTAAGCAAGGCACTTAACCCTAAGTTTGCTACTGACCAGTGTGTGAATATGTCTGCTTGAAGTGGCGGTAGTATAAAGCACTTTGAGTTGTCAGCATGGCCAAAAAAATAACATTCTGCCTCATTTTCATATGAAAAGGTATTTAACTGTTAAAAACAGTTTTGCCAATAGCGTACAAATCTTTCTAAATTTTATTATGGTGATATTAAAATATGTTCATCTTTACCTAATCTATTTTTCAGGGAACATCCTCTCTCCAGGCCACCGCCACCAGTGCAGCATTACATGCAGCAACATTGCTGGCGACTCTAAACCATCAGAGAGATCGAGGTTTATTCTGTGACTGTGTACTAAGGCAGAGGCGGAGCTCAGACCAGCTCTACCATGCACACCGGTGAGCATCATATTAGAACACAAAAAAGCAGCAATGTTTCCCTCATGGCACATTCCAACATTTACAGATATCTGTCATATGATTTTTCAGTTGTATTTAAGGGTTTGTGAGAATGAACACTGTGTTTCATCTCACCCCATTACATCTCAAGGAGTAGACTAGATCATTTGGTACCTTGTTCTTTTTTATGAGGTGTTAAGATCCCATGCTTTGGATAATAATCCTGCTGCAAAACCCAAGTGGTTTTAAGATTAGTATCATAAATGGATTTCTCTAGCAGGAATATATCCCAGAATATATGGATCCACCAATAAATGCAGGTTTTCCAGGCACAGAAGCAGCATATCAACCTCTGACCATCATGCCACCACAATTTTATCCAGCTGTCAGTTTGATATATATTTTTTTTGTCTAAAAAAATCAAATTAGTTTGTGTGATGTATTGAGATGCAAATTTATCCACAGAAGAATTTCCCTTCTTATTTTTTTGTAAAATTATGATCACAGCCCTGAACAACGATAAGTGAGCCATTTAGGTCTTTTGCAGTAGCCTGGGTTGTTCAGTCATCTAGAAGTTCATTAGGGTTATTATTGTTTTCCCAATTTCTTTTGAAGTGATCTATCTGTAGTTAAATTTAAAGCCAAAGCCTTAAAAATCTCTTTCTAATTCTTTACAGCTTTCTATACAGCACTTTAAGGACTTTGTTGTATTTCTGTTTTGGTTTTCTTTAGATGGAATGGGAGAACAATATTGCTTTGTTGTGATTTTTTTGTCTATTTTGTATTTTTTGTCTGGGCAGAGCTCATGAATTAAGTTCAGTTTTCCTAAAATATGACTTCTATTCTATACTTCTATTTGGCCCTTAATTAATGAAATCCTGTGTTAAAAATTGTGTTTGGTATGTAATGAATGCCCTTTTTTAATATTAAAAATTGTTTAATGATCTGAAAATTATTTGAGATAAGTTAAAACATTGTGAAATGGCAAAACCAGAATGGATTAGTGAGGAGTAAATGCATAATTAAAGTGCTGTGTTATTATTCAAACTTATGTTGACTTTTTGCTCTTCAAGGTGTATTCTGGCAGCCTCCAGTCCAGTGTTGGCATGCATCCTGTCCTCATCTGGCGCTCTTGTGGAACTAGAGGATCCAAGTCTCTCGGACTCCGTGTTACCTTCCCTTCTGGACTATATTTACACCGGCGTTCTTCCATGCCCTCTCAGCCAACAGGATTATCACAGACTGCTCTCTGCTGCCCGCCATATGCAGATGAAAGAACTGCAGGACGCTCTGAATGCAACCTGGCTACAGATCCAAGCTAAAGCCTCAGATGAAAAAAGTGCCCCTGGCATAGTTGAAATGTATTCAGTTAAAGAGACAGAACATAATTATAAAAATGATTTGAAGACCTTCAAAGATCTGCCACCATCAATCACAACATGTTCTTTTCAAAGGCTCGAAACAGCACCTGCAGAGCAGTTTCCTAATGAAGAGACATTTCCAGAAGCCCGTATAAATTCAGCCAGTATTGATCGCAGTACTGAAAATAATGAGAGTATTAGAAAGCACTATGCAAATGGTCACAGAAGAAATGAACCGACTATTTTAAATGACTTCAATACTTTCAGCATACTTGAAAACAATGATAGAGAGAATACTGGTGACTACAGACAAGTCAAGTCTCCGATACAAAAGGACCCAATGAGCCATAAAACGGACAAATCTGAGATACATAAAATCTCAAGAGTAATCCAATACCAGGATGAGAGCAATTCATCTGACCTTCTAGAACTACATACAGGACAGAAAATCCCAGAAGATAAGCCACTCCATGTATCTGAGGACAGAAAGAGACGCTCCTCATCTTCTTCATCATCACCACACCGATTCTGCGAGGCAGTGCCTGTCATCTGTCACAGTAGCCGAGCTGCTGTCCTGCAGAATTCAGAAGTCTCTGCAGGGCGTCCTCACAATCAAGCATTGCAGCCTCTTCCCAACATGGGTGATTTCTCCCTCTCAGTCAGCACAAGCAATGACACATTTATCAAAGCTATTAGCACTGAGTGCAAAGCTCAAAATGGAGTCCCAAATCAGGACACCAGAAGAACTATACGGCACACTAATGACCGCAAGGGGAACAAGGATTACAATAGCAACAATTTGCATCTCTTTAGAGTCAGTGAACAAACCTGCAAGAGTGCAATCTATAATATGAACAACAACTCCCAGCATGTCCATCAGGATTCTTTGCAAAGTTCCACAAGTCAGCTTGGAGAGCATTCAGACAACTTAAGGAGACGCTCAAAACACCAAATTGAAAGTGATTTTGATTCTGTTTCCTACAAACATCAGCGCTTGGATTGTTTTGAATGTCAGAAGGTATTACTGGCAACTGCGACACAGGAACAATCGAAAGATCCCAGAGCTGTAATTTCATTTCCCATGGAAACACTGGACACACAGAGCGATTCTAATTCTAGAGAATGCCTTGAGGTGGAAATGAAAGGGGAACACAGTTACTCTACCCACTGTCTTGATGTAACAGACAGTCCTTGCAAGGCATCTGAACCTCTAATAGACTGGCAAGCTAACATTTACAAAGATGACAAAAGCAGAAAAGATGATATATCTTGCAGGGATGAGTACAAAGTATGTAGCAAACAAACATTGTTGGCTTCTAAATACTGTGAAATATCTGAAAGTAGAAAAAGTTCAAGCCCTGAAACTGTGGTGCCATGTTGCTCTTTAACAGCACCCATAGACCACAACCTTTCTGGCACTGCAAGGCACACAGGTCAGCCATACCATGGACATCTTCCATACCAGGTTGAACCACATGAGGATGAACACAAACTCTCCAAACCTGGCCTCTCTCTTGATTCAGATAAGTTAAGTGATGGGGTTAATACTGGATCCTTTACTTTTTTTGGTCAAAGTTCTCTGAGTCAATATCTCCCTGTAAAGACAGAAGAAAAACTGGATGTAAACACCAAACATGATCTAGATATGTCCAGTCAACACGGATCTGAAAAAGAAGAAAAGCAGTTTGTTGACATGGAGACGGTTGCAACTGCAAATTATGAAAACGCACAAATGATTCATGGTTCCTTTATAGGCAGACCTGGGACCTTTTCTGAGTCTGATAGTCGAGGAGACAGCAAAGATAGAAGCCTTCTTTATATAAAAGAGTGCACAACAGGAGTTTGGGTGACAAACAACACTGAAATCATGGACGTTTTTCAGCCTGACGAGGGTAAAACCAAGATCAGCAACACTCCAATCAGTTCACCCCTTGGTGAGTCAGACTGTGATAGAGCCTCTATGCCATCCACTGTATCTGTCTGCATACCTTCCACTCTTCCAGCTGGTGAGCCAACAGATAAGTCAGCTGATCTGTCATCTCCCAATCATCAGCCTTTCCAGTGCTCCCTCTGTGATCGTTCATTTAGTCAAAGAGGTTCTCTGAACAGACATGTGCGAAGCCATCTTGGGGTTCGCCCCTTCCCCTGCCCCTGCTGCCCAATGACCTTCTCACGGCAATACCGTGTCACAGAGCACATGCGTGTTCACCAGCGTTGTGCCCTTGGAAATAGCTCACAAAAGTCCCCTGAGGCCTCGGTTACAAACAATGTGAAAAGGCCACAAATCTAAAACTTGTTGGTAAAAGTATTTCTGTGGCTCATTACCAAATTGTTGTCTTGCAGTCCAAGGGTTGTTGGTCTAATTCTAGCTCCCTGCACATTTTGAAGTGCCCTTTGGCAAGGCAAACCAATTTGGGTACTGGTCTATCACTTTAAGTGGTTGCTATGACTTGAAACACACAATAAAAATTCAGTCAACCAAACTGAATGCAAAGAAGAGAAACTGACAGCTGATTTCTGAGATGATGGAGTCCTGATTTTTGAAGGTTTAATCATCTGTACTTTTCTCAGTTTTAATGATTTTGCCACTTTCTGTTGTGTATTTTCTGAGTTTTTCAGGGGCTGATGAACACTACTTATAGCCTTTGACATTTGAAATGTATTTATTTCTAGTATTACAATAACTTTTGGCAGCTATTTCTTATTTTTCTGGAATTAACCTGAGCATGCATTTGTTGCCTTACATCAAATCGCAGAGAGATGTTGTAAGCCAGTACATATAGAACAGATGCTAAGGATTTGGCAGCTACAATCTTTTTTATTTCCATCTAGCAGTTTCTTGAGACAAAGCTGTCGACGTAGATCAGTAACAATATTGTTCCAACAGTCTGGTTAACTATTTAATATTGTCATAAAAACAATAATGTATGTCAGCATTGTGTCTCTAGCTTTTTGTGTTCCCTTTCCATGGAGAACATATTAGTTAACTCAATAAAATGGGACAGAATGTTGACAATAATGATAATATAAACCTCTACTTTATAAACCTCTTATCATGATGAAGTATATTACAAAAATATCCTACAAATCAAAGGGCGATAGATCAAATGCAGAAACTATTGAGATACATTTTTCTTCAACATTTCACTACTGCAGCACTAGTTTTCAGAGAAATATGTTTTGCTTCTTAAAGCTTCTTACTCTTGCTAGTATTATTTAACCATTGCAGAAGCATCTAAAACACAGATAGTTAAGAATCAGCTTTATTTTGATCTTTGATTCGTTTGAGTATCTGTTGCTGACATAATAAAAAAATACCAAGATTATTACAAATAAGAATATGAGAAAAATCAGTTGAAAGATGAATTGTCTTGTAGTCTTTGGATCTATCCTCTAATTTTTCCTTTTTCACATACTGCTTTTTATGCTGAAGACCTTTTCTATTTTTGTCTGATATGCTTCTGTTTTACATACAACTTTTCAATTGTCTAATTTTTTAAACATATACTGAAATTATGCCGTCATACTTCAGCACAGGCACACAATAAACAGAGGGTCAATTATTTATCTTATTATTTCTACTCCTTATAATATTTTGTAATTATCTCTATTTTTTAGTTCTTACATTTTAAAAATAGACTTTATTTCATTAAAGCTAATTTTCGTTATGGTTTGTTGATACTAAATAAAAACAAAAGTAAAAAGCATTAAAATCATTTGGTATGTTTGCCACCTACAAAAATAAATCTTTGTTCAAGATGATGCAAAGTTAAATTGGACTTTGCATAAAACAAAGAAACCTAAAGCTTTAGTGGAGGATTTTTGCGAATTTCTTTAAAAGACTCAACAACCCTGTACTCCGAGAGGGAACGTCTATTAACGGCCTTAAGTTAACATATCACCAGAATGATTGACAATTAGGGACCCACTTAATCTGATGATCCAGGCGAAAAAAGAACATCCTCCACTTTACTTTTAAGTATAAGGAAGTTTTCATTCAGAATTGTAGAAAAATGTCCGCTTAATAGTTTAGTGCAGTAACTGTTTACTTTTATACTTTAAGTAGTTCTAAAACTGGTACTGTTACACTTACTTGAGTAAAAAGCTAAAGTTGATGCTCTAACTTCAACTAAAGCATTTTTAAACAGTAGGATTTATATTTCTGCTTGAGTAATAAATATTAATACTTTGACAATAAATAAGATATCTCAGAGCCTAATTTTATAGACCACTAGAAAGCTATTGATCTTGACGAGTTTTAAAATGTACTGGTATGTTGAGGGAACATTTAAAGGTTTCGAGGAGTTTAAACCTCAAAGATATTCATTTTAGTGAATACGATATTGCAAAGCACACAATAATACATTGCATTTTTATTTTGCATAATTGCACAGAGTTATGTAAACAAATTTTCATTATTTTATTTTTTACATGATTTTATTCTTTCTGATTTTATACACTTGGAAATTTCAAGTTTGTTTGAATCTTCTAACAATGAATGCATGTCACCTTGCTCTTGTTGCACAAAAACCTCCCCCTTGTGGGATAATAAAGGATTTTTTTATTCAGTTCTTTTCTCATTCTTAGAAACATTAAAGTTGCATTCAGATGCCTATTATCACTGCTTAAAATGCACTTTCTTATTTTGTTGTCCACTCTATACAACTTTAAGGAGTGAATTGCTTGATAAAGTCCTTGTTTGTCCAGATTTGTTTTATAAGAAGCAAATCTGGAAAAATCTGGACATGCCAAAGCCATGTTTTTCAGTTAGCCCAGTATGTTTTAAAAACTTGGCATTTTTTAACGGGACTTGATAAACGATGTTGGTCTTTGTCTGCTTCTTTAAATATGATTTTGTCTTACAACCCCATGAGGGCTCGGCACTTTTATTGTATATGGTAAACAAGAAAACAAACTACTGCAGCTGCTCATGGATCAAACACCATTTTGTATAAGGATGCATCCGTCCATTGTCACCTAAGATCGAATTGAGTAGGCGGTCCCTATAGAAACTGTTCTCCAGCTCATCCTGGGGATTTAAACGTTGTTAATAAATCTGTATTTTAAAAGAAGACACTCTTCATCAACAAAGTCTTGGAAGAAGCAGTATTTATTAGCAAATAGCAACACATAGGCATTTAACAACGAATAAACACTCAAGAAGTACTTGTGCTCTGTTGTGTTTATGTCAAACTACTTGTTGAAAATTTAAGCTCAAATTAACCTGTCAAGTTTTAATATTTCATGTTTTGAAGTTAGAAAACAAATCACAAACATAAAATCATGTTGCTATAAATGAATGACTATAAAATACATAATGCTTAACCACGAAAACATACTTTTACCAATGGGATGTCACATTACAATTCAGTTAAAATTTAAAATTTTTTATTAGTACTTCGAGTTATATATATATATATATATATATATAGACCTATTATGCCCTATGTTCATCAACAAATGTATGCAATGAGTAATGCTGGAAGTATTACTTCCAGCATTACTCATTGATAAAGCTGATTGAAACACTGGAAGTATTTCAATCAGCTTTATATCTTCAGACATAAAGCTGATTGAAACAGGCTTTACTAGAGAATAACTGGGCTGATATTTTCACCAATAACATTTTATTAGTTTATGATAGTCCTTTTAAACTCAGAAATAAATTTTTTTGTTTTTTCTATATTGAAAAGGCAACATTTTACTTTGTAAAGAAAACAATACAACAAAATTGCACATAAGTATTCACTTCATGATACATTTTCTCTAAAAACTGCTTTTATCATTATTTTTCAAGCTGTAGAATTACACTGACATAGAAGAGTTATGTTCTAAGATAAAAGTGAAAAAAGAAATAAATGTTTAAGTTTTCCATCATCAGTTTCATCACTCATACCCTGGTGCTTGGCAAATACCTGGGTTGGTAGAAGCCAGTGAAACACCAGCTTTAGTAAAACCAAGCAGGAACATCTATCTGGGTTATGTGATTGTGCTTGGATGGTACTACTGAATAAAGGTGTAAAGACAATGAGGGTTGATCAAGGAGTTTTTTTTCTCTAACCATTTTAACTTGATATTCTTAAAAAAAAACAAAAGCTGTCTGGCTCAATTTCCACTGAAGTCTAAAACCTGTATTTCTCAAGAATATATTAGTACTTAACAAGTATGCCATCACTTAACTATTCAGTGCTCTGCCAAAAGAGGTTACCAAACAAGAGTGTCATTGTGCGACAGTATCTTTCCTCTGTGTGAGCTTTTGTGCAACCTGTGGTTCCTGGTTGCATTTGAGATTCTTAGCTTTAATGGAACTTTGCGATTCCAATGAAAATTGTCTTTTCTTGTTCTGCATGCTTTGAAATTAATCCACTGGCAAAAAATAATTATTCTGGGTTTGAAACACTGTCTTAGATTTTTTTTTTTGGTGTGTTTTATTTACAAATACCAAAGTGATGTAACACTTACACCACAGTGAGATAACTAGTGTGACTTCCCTTAATCAGGTGAGGGTTTTATAGAGAAAGATGAGGTATATATTAGATCAGACTTTATTAATTTCCAAAACAGTAGCTTAAATATCTTTATACATAAAGTTTTGAAAAAATCCTGTGGTCAGTTTCACAAAGCAGGTTTAACAAACTCAGACTTAAATCCTCAGCTCTGACTTGATCTAGCCTAAGGTGAGAAACTCTAAGTTTGTAGTTTCACAACCGCTGATGGGAGTTAGTTTAACACCGAGTACCTTCACTTGGAATTTAGTGTACACAGAGTGTATAAAAAACAAAATTTCGATGCATACAGCTTTTTCAACAGAGAATGAGCAGCT